CGCAGGCCGTGCTGAGGAGGTAGGCACCGAGGACACGGGCCGTGCTAGGTAGGCGCCGAGGACGCAGGCCGTGCTGAGGAGGTAGGCACCGAGGACAACGGGCCGTGCTAGGTAGGCGCCGAGGACGCAGGCCGTGCTGAGGAGGTAGGCACCGAGGACACGGGCCGTGCTAGGTAGGCGCCGAGGACGCAGGCCGTGCTGAGGAGGTAGGCACCGAGGACACGGGCCGTGCTAGGTAGGGCGCCGAGGACGCAGGCCGTGCTGAGGAGGTAGGCACCGAGGACACGGGCCGTGCTAGGTAGGCGCCGAGGACGCAGGCCGTGCTGAGGAGGTAGGCACCGAGGACACGGGCCGTGCTAGGTAGGCGCCGAGGACGCGGGCCGTGCTGAGGAGGTAGGCACCGAGGACACGGGCCGTGCTAGGTAGGCGCCGAGGACGCAGGCCGTGCTGAGGAGGTAGGCACCGAGGACACGGGCCGTGCTAGGTAGGCGCCGAGGACGCAGGCCGTGCTGAGGAGGTAGGCACCGAGGACACGGGCCGTGCTAGGTAGGCGCCGAGGACGCGGGCCGTGCTGAGGAGGTAGGCACCGAGGACACGGGCCGTGCTAGGTAGGCGCCGAGGACGCGGGCCGTGCTGAGGAGGTAGACGCCGAGGACGCTGGCCGAGCCGAGGGGGTAGACACCGAGCACGCGTGGCGCAGCGAGGAGGTCTGCGCCGAGGGTGCGGGGCGCGCTCAGGAGGTCGGCGCCGAGGACGCCGCTCGCAGCTCTGTGCCGCCACCGGGGCAGGCTCACCTCAGCCTGGCTGGGGGAGACCGAAAGTTTCGGTGGAAAGCGACTGCTTACCGGCCGCCTGTGACGAGGCTATAAGCTGACTTGTAACCGGAGCTGTGGCCCGACCCGGCAGATCCGCCGCTGGAACGGCTGTCCGGATCAACCACCGAATGTTTTTGGGACGAATGTGTTTTGGCGAATGTTTTCTTGTCGACGTGTCTCCGCCGTTTCTCCACCGTGTCAAAGGGAAAACGCGGAAAGTTGAATGTCAGTTTGCCGAGGTGTGGAATTTGCGAAATGTTTGCTTAGATGTGTATTTGCCGAATGACAGCATGCCGCAATGCTGTTGAATCTAACGCTACGTTCTTTAGTCGAATATTAGTTCATGGAAGTGCTGTTAATAGCCTGTAGGTTGATGCTTCTTATGTTGGTTCTGGTTGTATGAAAGGCTTACACGTGCCTTAGGTCATTGCCATCGCAGCCTGCATTGCCATAAACGGTGTCCGATCAGAAAAAGATCAGAATTTGTGAATTCTCCGGCTGTAACCGGACCAGACCTTTCCTAATATGGCTATGGCATGACCAGCTCGCTCCTGGCCTAGCTGTGACCGGACCAGACCTTTCCTAATCTAGCTATGACAGGACCAGGCTTCTCCTATTCTAGCTGTGATCGAACCAGCCCTCTCCTGACCTAGCTGTGATTGGACCAGGCCTCTCCTGACCTAATTGTGGCCGGACCAGCCTTCTCCTGACCTAGCTGTGACCGGACTAGCCTGTCCCTGACCAGGCCTGACCTGGCTGTGACTGGACCAGCCCGTCCCTGACCAGGCCTGACCTGGCTGTGACCCTTGCCGGTGTGCACTGCCAGCTGATCGCCGACCTGCGGCGGCGGGTGCGGCTGGGCCGTCCGACCGACCTCCTCTCGCAGCGGCACGGAGCCCCCGACGACAGCGCCAACCACGAGATGGCGCTGCTGCAGAACGTCAGGTTCGCCTTCCAGGTGGACAAGCGGCAGCACATGTCCTGGCTCAAGGTGGGCGTGCGCTCCGCGCCGAGGACAGCCGGCCTCGTCGTCGGGCGGGGGGGGGGAGGGGGTTCCACTCTGGGTGTCAATGCATGTGGGAAATTGTTGGAGTGTCATTAGCACGCTTAAGGAGAGATGCTCTGATGGGGCCGTGAAGCCGGTTAAGAGGTCACGTGACACTCGCTCTGCTGGCGGTTTAGGTGATCGTAGAGCACATGGTCATGTGCTGGCTCAGACCGTCCCGGCTGGCCGTGCGAAGCCCTGGTAACGATGATATGATGCCGTCCGTTGTTGCTGCTTTCGGGCTAGATGTCGGCGCGTATGCTTGTGCGGGTCATTGTCGCTGCTATCTCTTATTCAGTGGTTCAGTGGTACCTAGTTACGGCTGCCTCGTGGTTTTTCTTTCTGCGGTTGTGCGATCTAAGCATTTCTTTCTGCAGCAGCGTGGTTCAAGCTCTGTCACTTGACGGATTGAGCACGTCTGGTGGTCATCTTAGTATCTACTGAATCGTTTGCTATTTTGTGCGTAGCGGTTGCATTTGACAAAATGGTCTACATTGTATGTAATGGTCTACATTGTAAATGGTCGACACATTATACACGAGCTGGAGTGGAGCACGGTGGGAGCGGGGGCAGCTGGAAGGCAGAAGAAGGAGGCAAAGATGAGAGGAAGTAGCCAGCCCTGCCTCGAAAAATATTTTCGACGTTGTCGTTGATGGTGGAAACAGCCCACTCAAAGCGTCATGCTGCGAAAACGAGCGAAGCTCATGGACTACGCGTTGGCGGCACCCCTCCCTTCCCCCCACCCCCCCTCCCCGTGTGCCAGTGTCATGGTACTAACGGCGTCTGTGGTGACCTGCGGCCCCTCCCCCGCCGTGTGCCGGTGTCTGGGTACTGACGGCGTCTGTGGGTGACCTGCGGCCTCCCCCACCGTGTGCCGGTGTCCGGGTACTGACGGCGTCTGTGGGTGACCTACAGCCCCTCCCCCGCCGTGTGCCGGTGTCCGGGTGCTGACGGCGTTTGTGGGTGACCTGCGGCCTCCCCCGCCGTGTGCCGGTGTCCGGGTGCTGACGGCGTCTGTGGGTGACCTGCGGCCCCTCCCCCGCCGTGTGCCGGTGTCTGGGTACTGACGGTGTCTGTGGGTGACCTGCGGCCTCCCCCGCCGTGTGCCGGTGTCCGGGTGCTGACGGCGTCTGTGGGTGACCTGCGGCCGGCCCGGCCTGTTTCGGCAGGCGCTGGACGCCGTCTGTCCGCCGGAGGTGCACCACCCGCTGGACGTGCTGCTGCTGCTGCAGCTGCACGACACTGCCCCCGCCCGCCAGCGGCTGGTAGAGGCCGTGCTCCGGAAGAAGGTGCGCGCCGGCCACTTCAGCCGCGCCGTGCTGCGAGACACGTTCGCCGCGCACGCACAGGTGATCCCGCCGCCACGGACGGCACGCCGGCCCGGCCAGTCGGACGCCGGCCGGTGCTCGCACGCTCAGTGTGTCCAGTTTGGCACTCCGCCGGCGGTGCTGGACATCGCCACATTCTGCAGTTCGTCTGTGAATTTGTTCGTTTTTTGGGGAAGACTGAGATCAGCTGCTTTCGTGTGCTATGTGAGCGATACCGATTTGTCTGTGGAGGACTAGTTCGCTTTAGCGTGTGTGCAACGTTGTATTAAAGGGAACTGTATTTGCGCCGTTGCCCCTGTTGGCTAATATGGACAATGCAGCCGCTGGTGCTCCAAAAACGGAGCGTGACGTCGCGCGTTGCGCTCATCTTTTATGAAAGAAGCTGAAATGTGACGAAAGCGCATGTAACGGCCGCAAGCGCGTGCCACATTTCTTTTTTACTCATAACATTCGCAAATTGCAGCGATAGTGATTGCACACTCGTGCCATATATTCACATGCACACACCTTGTGTGTCGTGGGATGTACGAGGTGACACTACACGAGGTGACACCACCGCCTGCTCAGGTGCGATGCCGTGAGACCTGAGGTCCCAGATGCCAACGTGCTCCCTGATGTACCGCAGACGCTGAAGCAGTTCATCTCCACGCTGCGCCGCTTGGCGGCGTTCCTGCTGCGCTGCTCTGAGCCGTCCCTCTCCGACTACGGGGCTGAGATTTACCGGTGGGTTGGCAGTCGCCCGGGTCTGTGCCTGCTGTAGGTCGGCAGCCGACTGGGTCTGGGTCTGCCGTAGGTCGGCAGCCGACTGGGTCTGGGCGTGCCGTAGGTCGGCAGCCGACTGGGTCTGGGTTTGCCTTAGGTCGGCAGCCTGGCTCGACCGCGGGCCCAGAGCTGTCCGATGGGCGGTGTTTCTCCCCCCCCCCCCCAGGCCAGATCTTTGGGTCTTTGGACTGCTTGAGCCAGATCTTTGACAGGTGGGAACGCTCACCCCGGTCACGGACCGAGGTTTGCAGCTCCGCTCCGGTCACGGGCAGAGGTCTGCAGCTCAGCCCCGGTCGCGGGCCGAGGTCTGCAGCTCAGCTCCGGTCACAGGCCGAGGTCTGTAGCTCAGCCCCGGTCACGGGCCGAGGTCTGCAGCTCAGCTGTCACGGGCCGAGGTCTGCAGCTCAGCTCCAGTCATGGGCCGAGGTCTGCAGCTCGGCTCCGGTCATGGGCCGAGGTCTGCGGCTCAGCTCCTGTCACGGGCCGAGGTCTGCAGCTCAGCTGTCACGGGCCGGCTCCGCTCCGGTCACGGGCCGAGGTCTGCAGCTCAGCTCCGGTCACGGGCCGAGGTCTGCAGCTCAGCTCCGGTCATAGGCCGAGGTCTGCGGCTCAGCTCCGGTCACGGACTGAGGTCTGCCTGTGGGACGGGAGCGGAATGTGGCGGCGGGGTCGTCCCGTCCCTCGTTCGCCGGCGCGTCTGGGCTCCAATTTGAGGTGTCGGGTGTGTGTGCAGCGTTGTCGTGGCTAAGATTAGCGTGTTACGTCATGCGGGGATATTTTTGGCTAGGTGTTGTTCCGAATAAGTGCGATGATGATCCAACTGCATCTGTCTGCCATTTGTTTCGTATGTAATTATTGCAGGCAGGTATGCGAATTGGAAGGGGTTTCTACTGCACGTATTTATAACTAGGTTGAATTGTTTCGACAAGCCACGCTGCGTAGTTCTTTCTGAAATGGGCGATGATGCTGTGCCTCGTGCGTAGCTAATTAGCTCTGTAGTGCCCTAGCCCTAGCTTTTGGCCCTAGCTCTGTTAACTTTTTGATTTTTTAGCCTTAACTTTAAGCTTGCCGATACGCTGAGACTGCCCTGTTAAGTCCGAGACGTTGCAAGTGCATGCCCGCCAGCTGGCGGCAGCGGGACGGCTCGTGACGGGCTGTGCCGTCGCCGACAGACTGGGCTTCGTCTCGTTCTCCGGCTACCACCAGCAGGAGATGGTGATCGGCCTGCTGTCGCACTCGAGCGACCCGCCGGCCACGCGCCAGGCGGCGCTGCGGCTCTTCCAGACGCTGGCCGAACACAACACCGACGCGCTGGCACGGTACTCCGGCTTCCTCAAGGTGCTCACAGCCCGGCAACCGCCGCCATGACAGTGTCGCGACATGGCTGACGATAGGGGAACGGTGGGCTCTAAGGGTTTGAAAATGGGGTTAATAGAACATTGAATATTTCGCTGTCCTTGGGAGACCATTGACACACGTTATTAAAATGTTGTATTAAGCCACTAGATCCGGTTATGGTGTGAGCTTTTGCCCACTGAGGTTTTCTTTTTAGGAACACATTTACGATGTGGGCCGCATTTTCATGTATTAGCCATGACTGGAGGCCATATAGCTAATCACAGTTTGAATGAATTTGGAATTACATGCATGCGCTATGCTTCGTGGTGGCTTCAGTTGTGCTGAAACAGACAGATCGGCCAGGTGTCGGCCAGCTCTCCTGACCAAGACTGGGAAGTCAGTGCGTGGGCCGACTTCCAGTATCCAGGTCCAACCAGCATGTGTCACTGTATGTCTGTCAACGGGTGTGTGGCCTCCGACAGCCGCGTTACGTTCACATTGTACCTCACCTCAAGTCACGGCGTCACGCACCCCGCTTGTGGTGCGGCGCTCAACAGTGTCCCGGTCTCGCATGCTTGTCCGTCGCCGTCTGCGGAGCGGTGACTGTCGACAGTGCGGCAGTGACCACGCGCCGCTGTCGGCAGAGCTGGCTGGACCTGTTGGACCAGCTGACGCTGCCCGAGGCGCGCCAGCTGATGGAGGTGCTGAGCACGCTGGCGTTCCGCGCGCCGCAGGAGGCCGCCTCGGTCGGCGACGAGCTTAGACTGCTGGTGCACAAGCAGCTGGCCAGCTCGTCCCAGCGGTCAGTGGTGGGGCAGAGCGCGCCGCCGGTCATGGCGCTGACGGCCGACGGCCGGCCGGCCACGGGCACGCGCGGGCTCCTGTCGGAATGGTCTCTGGTGACGCTCGGCTGCCGTCGCAGGCAGACCGGGTCCAGACCGGGTCAAGTCAAGGTCAGACGGGACGCGGCTGCCGAACTGAGACAGGACGTAAACTGCACGAGCCAGGGCTGGAACCGCATCCTGATGGGGCTGGGGATGTGGAGCTGAATTCACTACCGAAATTAGATCTCGTGTGTAGGGGATACCATGGACTTACCGTTGTCCAGTCCCGGGTGCGTCAGATTGGAACTGAAAACGCACCCCGGAATTATGCCAGACGTGAAATCTGTCATGCTCGCTGAGCGTGCCCATCTTTTAACGCGCTCGGCATGGAAAGGTCAGCTGGCAGCCGGCCAACGAGGGTTCAGGTTGGTCTGGGACGGCCTTGCGGCGGCATTGTACGGCGCCCATGATCCTTTTCCGTCCTGTCTGGCAAAACGGTGGGGTTTCAGGTCACACTTGGCTAGCTTTGCTCGAGGAGTGCTCCGAATTGTCAACTGTCCTTGGAACTCATTCAGAACGAATCGATTTGAGAAGGGACTTTTAGGCTGCCGTGGTGCGTTCGCCAGCCGGATTTTGATTGTGGTAACTAGCCTCGTAACGGAACGAGGCAAGGCGAAACAGAAATCGCGCGCATCGCTTGTTTTAAAGGCAGAGTGGCGAACGTGACATTAGGTCGTTCTTCGTCTTCAACATTGCAGTTTTATCGGGATGCCTTGTCTGTTGATAAACATGCAAGAGTTCAACATGTCTAAGGAATCGAAACATTTTGTGTACCTGTGCCGTGTCAGTTTTTGTCAAATAGACACGATGTGCCCTAAAACCCCAAATCATCATCATCATTATCAAATGGACACAGATTAATCGTTGAAAGATGGTTTTCTTCAGCTGCTAAACAATGTTGGTTATGCTCAATAGGTGTCACCCACTGTCTTGGCCTGATGAGGTATCTTTAAGTGGTGATGTTAAACTGATCTTAACTGATTTTAAACGTCATACAGCATTGTGGCAGGTTGTCGGCTGCATGCCGTCACTCAGTGTATGGACGTCGCGGTTACAGACGGTAACGAGACGGGCCGGCGGCAGCGTCTAACCCCCGCCCCGCGTCGCCAGGTATAAGCGTCTGGGTGTGATCAGTGTGCTGATGGCCATCAAGTGCCGGCAGAACAGCGGCGACACGAGTACCACCACCGTCAGCAGCGGGGACAGCCAGGTGAGTCGACGTCTCCCTCCCCGGCCCGCCTTGTCTCTCGGCCCGCCTCCGTGACCTGCGTCCCCCGGTGACCGCTGTGTCTGTCTCCTCCCGGTCCTCCTCCGTGACCTACGTCTCCTGAGGGTTGCTATATCTGTCTCCCGGTCCCCATCCGTGACCTGCGTCCCCCGGTGACCGCTGTGGCTTTGTCTCCCGGCCCGCCTGTTCACAGTTGCACAGTTGCCGGGGCACAGTTGACGGCTCGAATTGGCCAGTCTGTATGACCCAGTTTTGGAAATGGAGGCGGCACCCCTGCACTAACGCTGGTGCTGAGGCCGAGGCCGCCAGGCATCGCAATGTGCCCAGTAGATTAGTTTAATGTTGGGCATTTTCCAATGAGTGACCCCAGGTGTTGGGGTGTGAGGAATGAGATTATGTTATATTGCAGTGTTTGTTTCGTTGCTTGTGCACTGTTCCCCAACTCGAATCTGGCTTTTGATGATAATTGTTGTATAATGTAGCTAGGAAGATTCGTCGCGAAGCTTTAGGTAGAACGTTAGCTCATGCCTGGCCTGTCTTGTTTTAAGTAAATTCCAGTGTACCTGGCGTCGTAGTGCGGCTCTTGGGCCAAGGTCTGCATTGCCACTTGTTTGGCTGTTTTATTTTGCATGTGTGCCCTATTTCGCAGTCGTTCGACCCTCATGCTGTATTTTATTGTTATGGGTTTGTCGTACATGGTGCCACAGCAGCCAAACCACGGCGATACGTATGTGGTGTAAATTTTGTTGAGAAGTTGTTTCGGTGTGCAGTTTCTTGTCTTGGGTGCAGGGGTATCTTGCGGCTTCGTCGCATGCTGGACTTTATGGCGTTTGGTAGAAGCATTCACGTATGCGTGAAACCAGGCTATCTTTAGAGCGGGTAATGCATTAGCGTTTGCCTGTTCCAACTATTGATATGAATAAGCCTGCAAAGGTGAGTATGGCTATAATTGATGCACTCTTATTGGTGGAGGCGTGTTGTGCGGTCTTGGTAGTGCTGAACATCATGGGCATTGTGTGGTGCGTGCCTCAGCGGCCTCTGGGTCGTATTGCGAAGAAGTTTATGCGATGTCCTCTTCATTTGTATGTAAATCGCAAAGCGACGTGGGCGGCGTAGAAAAGAACAGCATTCGCCGTGACCTCGTCAAGCCCGTGTGGGATGAGATGACCCTCCGTGGCGTGGCGTGACCCCGTGCGCCCACTGGCAGTCTTCTGAGATCGTGCTGACGACGGCCGGCCAGCGGGAGACGGTGCAGCTGCTGCAGATGGCGCAGACGGCCGTGGCGGCGGCGCCGGCCGCCCGCGGCCTCCTGCTCGACGAGCTGGGAAGCTTGGTCTGGCGTGCCGGACTCGACGCTAAGATCGAGAACTGGATCTGCGACCAGCTGATGGACGAGTGGGTGACGGTGCCGCCGACGGACTGGGGGCGGCGCCCGCTGTCCCGTGGTCGCGCCCTGTGGTCGTCTCTGGCGGGGACAGTTCGTGTGGGGGTTTTGACTCACGTGGTCGCCGCTTTTGTCAGGGTTGGCATCAGATCTGTCACGACCTAGCACCACCGAGCTGGTGTCGCAAAGGGCAACTCATCTTACACGTGTGACAGTGCAGCATGTCAGTGAAACACTATATGTGGTGCACTAACCGGCCACTTCATGTCTGGTGTTTCCGTCAGCCCATGTGTGGTATCGGAGAGCTGTCTTCTATGTGCCGTGGCTGCATGATACCCGTTTTCGTGCGCTTTTTGTTGGACAAAATGCATCAAAGTGTTTCAAATCGTTGAGGATTTGGTATGGTCTTGTTGTTTAATTTCCGAGTGGTTGCTTAAAATTGCCGAGTTTGTTTCCTGAGCTCTGTAGTTGAGGGACTACATTGCATATCTGAAAGTCAACAAGCAGTAGCAGGGAACAAAACATGTTGTCATGCCTGTACCCAGAAGTAGTTTTAGATGACACAAAGTCCAGAAGTCACAGTTTATTTTGGTATGCGACCTTTCCTGCTGAAACCGCAAAGGAATGTTGGGCCGAAGCGTGCTGTGACTTTGGGCCTTTTTGTTTATCTAAAATGTATTTTACATGGATAGGAGAGTAAGGTTAGTTCAGCTGCTTCCTGCCAGCGATGGTCTATCTTAATAATTATGATCCTGTGTCGATCGCTGTGTAATGAACGCGTACTTGATGCCTGGCCACTACGCACAGACAGCGCGGACAGCGTGGGAAGACTGTTCGTCTGTCGACCCTCGCGGCCCCTGCCTGGCGCCTGCTGTGACGGACACTGTCGTGCGCCAGGTTCCAGGAGACGTTCGTGGTGGACCTGCCGGACAGCGAGCCGCAGTGTGACGCCCTGCAGCTGGCGCTCAAGCACGGCCTCGAAGAGCCGACGGTCGGCGAGATCGCACTCAACATCATGCCCATTGTACTGGAGAGGTAAGCGCTGCCCGGCGTGAGCTGGCTCTGGACTGAGCTCATGTTGGCGCCAAACCTCGTCAGCGGCTGTGCACAGAGGACAGACCGGTTCGCGGTGCTGCCATCTGGACTACAGGATGAGCGTGCGATGAACGGCCCCTGTTGTCACCATCAAGTTTTGGGAGCTCGTCATCAGTGCGTGGTATATGTGAGTGAATTGCTTCTAGTCACGGTGTGGCTGTCGGACGGCATCGCATTGGTGACGTCACACCTGTGGTGCCTCAGCTTCCGTACAGCGGATACAAACTGCACATCCGTGTCTACACGTCTGTGCCTGCACCTGCATAAGTATGCCAAAGTCAAGCGCGCCTTATCCTTCCGCCGAGCGCTGGCGCCACCGCCGTCGCCGGCCGCCACTAACCAGAGCGGCGAGCCGCGCGCGCCCCGGCCCCCGCCCGGTCGGCTCGGCCCCGTGTGACACCGCCGCGCCGGCAGCGGCGAACGGCTGGTGACGCTCTGCGCGCACTTCCGCCTGCTGCGCATGTGCGTGGCGTCGCTGGACGGCGGCGACATGGAGAAGCTGGACGCGCTGCTCGGCTGCCCGGTGCTGCTGCCGGCCGACGCCGCGCTGGACAGCTTCGCCACGCTGGCGCCGCCGCTGCGCGCTGCCGTCCTCACCGCCCTCTTCCACTGTCTCAACTTCTTCCGCGAGCTGCTGAACGCCTTCTCCACGCAGAAGGACCAGGAGCTGAAACGACGGGTGAGTGGGACCGCGGAGCGGTCGGCGCGGGTTTGAACTGGGTCTGGCCGGCGCTCTGTTCTGAACTGGATCTGAGCTGCAGAGACTCTGGACTGGGCTCACGCTAGCTGCGGACTGGTTTTCATTATTTGTCTTGTATATCCAAATGTTTTACCTTCTTTATCCGATTTATAGCTTTCCTTTTGACCTAATCTCGTACGCGACAACGCCGGGGGAGGGCGGGGGCTAGGCGAGCACACTGTCAATGTATGTCTTCCGATATGCCATTGGTCAGCTACCGTCGACAGCTTGCCGTACTAGAACCTCCCGCGTCTTCCCACGTGCCGTTCTGTCGCGTTGCGTATTTGCGGGATGGAGTAGCGCTGGTCGGGGATGATCCCAAGTGGGGCCAGCGCGTCTCCTCGCGGCCGCCGGGCACGGGGCCGGCGTGACGGACGCGCTCGGGCTTCGCACCACGCTCCATCTGGGCCGTGTGTCGGGCAGTGCGTGCTGCGCCTGCGCGTGATGCTGCAGCTGGAGGCGCAGATCAGCCGCTGCCTGCCGCTCGTGCCCGGCTTCGTGCCGCCGCCGGCCATCTTTGACGCCGACACGCCACCAGCGCCGCCCAGCGTCGCCGCCAAGAAGCACAAGCCTGCACCCAAAAGGTCCGAGACTTTTGATTAACTCAGCTACCTCTGTGGCCATCGGCTTCAGGCTGCAGAAGTCTGCTGAAGTGTGTAGATGGCGTTTTGTGCCCTTGTGGAACCTGGCGGATCTTCCATGTTATCTTTCCATAACGACCGGGCAATCTTTGGTTAAGGCTGAGATGATGAATTGTAATTTTGGTTATATTTTTGATATCAAATGCATTGCTTCCGCTAGACGTTTCAAATGAGTGTTGTCACTAAATAACGGATGTACACAAAACCCAAGATTGCCAGTGCCATTCGTATGAACATTCTGAGCGCTGTCCTTGCTGTCGCGGACATAGCGGGCATTGACCACCGCCGTTTGCGGCATCGCAGGAAGGGGAAGGCCAAGTCGCCGAACGGCACGCTAAACCAGAGCGGGCTGACCCAGCTGGAGAAGCCGACAGCCGAGGAGCGGCCGCCGGCGCCAGAGGAGCCCGGCCCGCAGCTGAGCGGCTACAGGCCGTTCCTGCGCGAGCTCGACATGGACGTGTACAAGCTGCTCTACAGAAGGCTCTCGCTCACAGACAACACCAGCGAGGAGGTGAGCGGCTGCTGTGCGCGCCGGCCGAGGCGCGGCACACGACTGGCCACCACCGGCCGAGGCGCGGCACACAACGGCTGGCCACCACCGGCCGAGGCGCGGCACACAACGGCTGGCCACCACCGACCGGCCGGGGCGCGGCACACAACGGCTGGCCACCACCGGCCGAGGCGCGGCACGTAACGGCTGGCCACCACCGGCCGGGGCGCGGCACACAACGGCTGGCCACCACCGGCCGAGGCGCGGCACACAACGGCTGGCCACCACCGGCCGGGGCGCGGCACACAACGGCTGGCCACCACCGGCCGAGGCGCGGCACACAACGGCTGGCCACCACCGGCCGGGGCGCGGCACTCAACGGCTGGCCACCACCGGCCGGGGCGCGGCACACAACGGCTGGCCACCACCGGCCGAGGCGCGGCACACAACGGGTGGCCACCACTGGCCGGGGCTTGTGTGAACGCCAACTGGCATCACCAGCCAGTTTGAGAGGATATGGTGTCATCTATGCGTCAAATCTTAATGGGCTTGCAACTTTAAAGGTAGTAATGCATTCAAGTCAAGGTGCGTCGTAAAGTACGAAAAGTGACCAATGTGCAAAGACTATGTGCCCACAACTTATTATGCTGGTTTGTCACATACCCACCATTGCTTGTTTCCATTCGTCTATGTGTCGACTTATTCCTTCCTCCCTGCTACGCTGGTGCGTCGGAGGCGCAGCCCGTGTCAGCAGAAGCGTTTTTGCCTGTGTTACCGGCTGTGTCACCTCTCCGTCACCTGCGTTACCAGTTATGTCACACATCCAGATATGTCACCTCGCCGCCGTCTGTGTTACCGTGTGTCTCACACCGCTGGCTGTGTCACCTCTACGTCGTCCGTGTTGCATCGTGTCTCACACCGCTGGCTGTGTCACCTCTCCGCCGTCTGTGTTACATCGTGTCTCACACTGTTGGCTGTGTCACACCGCTGGCTGTGTCACACTGCTGGCTGTGTCACACCACTGGCTGTGTCACACCGCTGGCTGTGTCATACCGCTTGCTGTGTCACACCACTTGCTGTGTGTCACCTCTCCGCCGTTCAGCGCGCGTCACCAGTGGCGTCGCCGGCAGTTCTGTATTCGGCCGAGCGAGCTGCAGTTGTTGCTGGACGACCTGACGCTGAAGCTGGAGCGGCGGCTGTCTGCGGCGCCGGCCGGCGGCCTGGCGGCCATGCATGCGGCCGCCGCTGGCCGAGGCCTCGGCTTCGCCCACCTGGACCTGCTGCCGGAGGCCAGCGTGGCCCGCCAGGCGGTGACGCTGCTCAAGCCGCTCAGCCTCATCGCCGACACCATCGTCGGCATGTTCAGGGTAGGCAGCCGAGTGTATTCCGGGATACTGGCAGAGATGGCGGCGCCAGGCTAACGTGGTGGCCGGCGAGCGCTTGGTCCTGCCTGACGATGAACAGGACTACGTAGTGGTCACGTTGTCCTGTGTTTGCATTACATTTCGATCTTGGTAGCTAGGATAGTAGCTGGAGTCGGTTTCTTTCAACATCGTAAAAGCAGACTGTCGTGCGGCCAGTAGACGAAATGGTCTCCGCTTAGCGTTCTTTTGACGCGGAGTGTTATGTCGAGGTGGCACTGACTATTGGTCCCTCAGTATGTTGGATTGTTCGAACTTGGCTCTCGCGGAGCTGTGGCTAGACACGCTAGTGGATTTCATGCTCCTTGAGTACCAGATAGCAAACTCTGGAACCATGATCGCTTAGTTTAGGAACGCAGACTTGCTAAATGGAGTTGCAGGAATCGTTTGCTCGGTTGGATCTCCGAACAACGTCGTCGATGAGTGTGGTTTGCCGCCTGGACATTGGTCCAAACCGCGAGATTATGATCGCATTCAGCGTACTCGCAGAGTCATACCGGTCGCTCTGTCATGTCGCGTGGTGCCATGGCATGACTGCTCGTGGTAACTGACTCCCTTTTGCAAATACGAACCCTTAAGTGGAAGACGAGCCTACTCATTGGCCCGTCCCCGACGCGTGTTCTCTTACCTGCCGCCGCCGCCGCTCGCTCACGCCGCGTCCTCGCAGTCGCAGATAGCGGACAACGACGGCGTGCTGGACGGGCCGGGCATGTTCGGCGAGGAGCCGAGCCGGCTGGCCGGCTGCCTGTCGGCCGTGTACCGGATCGTGGCGCTGCTTCTCTCCTGGCCGGGCTTGGCCGAGCCCGACAACCAGCAGCTGGCGCACGGTCAGTGGCCGGCGGCGGCGACCACGTCGAACGCCGCCGCGGTCCAAGCTCCCAGCGCTCGCCGGGCTGCCGGCAGGGCGGCGGCTGCACTGATGGTCGAGGGACGTGGCTGGGTTTAGTACGATGTCTGCGCTGTCCGCCGCGCCGGCGTCGACCGTGACTCATGGCGATGGCGATTGAGGCCGCGAGCGCTGGCCGTGGGTTCGCTCGGGCGCCAGCCGTGACCGGCGTCTCTCCCGCCGCAGACGCCGTGGCGAACCTGCGCCTCAGCGACGGAGGGCGCAGCCAGCTGACCACCAGCCAGCAGGGCTCCGCCGCCGGCCGCGCCTTCGCGCTCTTTGAGCAGCACGCGGCGTTTTTGCCGCGGATCGAGTGTGCGGCGAACCTATCGCGGACGCTGGCGGCGCTGGCGACGCTGGATGGTGACCCCGCTCTGCAGAAGACACTGGGTGAGACGGCGGCTGCACCGGGGACGGCGCTACGCTGCGCTGTTTCGGGCGCGTCAAGAGGGCGCGGGAGAGAAAACCTGCTGGCCTAGGCGTCGCCGACAACATGGGACGTATCGCCGTTTGGTCTGCGAACGCCATTGTATGTTTACAACGTCATGCCGTATGTAGGTTTAACAAGTATTTTACTGTAACGCCTACCTGACTTCCCTTTGATAGTAATGGTCAGCTGTTCGTGTAGGCCCGTTTTTGACCTCCCGCCTGATCTGTCATGTGAGCTGGCGTTCCGCGTCGTGCCGGATCCGGCTGCCGAGCCGACGCCGTCCATTACTCCCGAGCGCCGTGCCAGCTGACCCCCGGCGGCCCGCGCCCCGCCGACAGCTGACTGCGTCGAGTCGCTGCTGAAGCGCGAGTGGTACGCCAGCTCTGGCGCGCGCGAGGCGGGCGCCGGCTACGGGGCGCGGGTGGACGCGCTGCTGCGCCTGCTGCTGGCCGGCCGCGGCTCGGCGCTGGAGCGGTTGGACCGGCTGGCGCGGACGGCGCTGCCCGAGCTGCTGGAGTCAGCCGGACGCGAGCCAGCCTCCGAGACGTATCCGACGCTCACCAAGTCAGTGGCGCGCGGCGCGGTCACCCCGGCCGCCGGCAGCCGCGCCACAGAGGCGGGCCCTCTCACTTGCGCCGGCCGCAACTGTGTCTCCGAGGTGGCTGGTGCAGGGTGGCGTTATCGACAGTCGCGGCCGGTTTGTTTAACACAGACAGCGGCTTGTGCAATGTTACCGTCAGCGGCCCGTCTGGGGCATCGTCTAGCCTCTGCCGGTCTGTGCTCCCATGTCTGCGTGCTCCTGATCTGAACGTCTGCCGCTCCAGACTCTCTGCCGGCTCGCTTCTGTCAGCCGCACCGGCCTGTGACCTGTGTCCGTATTCACTTGACTCATTGCTGCTCTGGCCGACAGCCTGTGTTCCGCCTGCTTATGTGAGTGTCCGCGTGTTCGTGCCCTTGCCCCGTCTGCCGGCGCCGGCGCCCCGTCTAGTTGTGCCAAATGTGGCTGGCGCAACGTGTGCCAGCGAAAGTGCCCTGTCTGCTGCCCCATTTGCCTGGGGCAGTGCCCCGCCTGCCCACACCAGTCAAGCCCGCCCCCCCCCCCCCCCCCCTGTGTCAGTGCGTGGCCTGTCCGCTGTCGGCGCCCGTCTGTCTGTGCTCGTCAGCGTCCCGTCTGATGTGTCTGTGCCGCGTCTGCTCGCTCCAGTTCGCGGTGCCCCCCCTGCATGCCTGTGCCAGTCTGCTGCGCCTGCGCGCGCCGGCGCCTCCTCCGGTGCGGTTGTCGGAGGCCCCCAGCCCGTCTGAGCGGCGTCTGGCTGCCGCAGGGCGACGTTCGGCCACTACTACCGCGACATGTTCGTGTCGCTGGTGGAGGCCATGCGGGTGGCGGTCTCCGCCGGCCGGCCCGAGCAGCAGCGGCTCGACCTCTGGGCGGCCGCCCTGCGCGTCTTCAACCAGCTGGTCGGCTGCCTCAAGGTGTTCAGCAGCCGGAGCGCCGTCGGGGTTTGCTTGAAGGTGAGCAAGCTGGACTGGACCGTATCGCTCATGCGGCGGTGATGCCGGCGAGCGTGCAGGCCTGCGTGAGGTGCTGTCAAATAGCTAAGCGCCTCTGCTTTTGCAGTTGATGACCCTATTGCAAACGTGGAAAGGCTATTCGAGTTCCGTTGGCGCTGCTGATGTTCGGCCAAGCAAACGAAGTATGGTCCTCGTGCTGGTTTGCCCGACGAGTATGTTTTCTGAGCACCTTGTTTGGTCGGCACATGACGAGTCCTGCAAGAAACCGCCGCCTGCGTCAGTAACCACGTTAGATGCTCACCCACCTGCTGCTATTTGGGCTGAATTATTGAGAAAATGGAACGTTTTCAGGATTGATCGGCCCTCAGGTGACTGTAAATCATCGTTTTCTATGTGAAGCGTTCCCTGGCGATTTTCCCGGGGCTGCTGCCGCTACTGTCTGCTGCGACTGCCGCCTATCTCGCGCCACCCCCCCCATCTCCGCAGCACTCCCGCCGGCTAGTGGACCTGTTTGTGCGTCACGCCATCCCCATGCTGGAGCTGATGTTGAAGCAGCAGAAGGACGAAGTGCTGACGATTCTCAAGAACTTCCAGCTGAGCGCCCGTTACCTGCACCACGTGTGCAACCACTCCAAGGTAGCTGTTTTGGGACGTCCGTCCGTCACGGCGCTCTGCGGGCTCATGCTGGCGGTGGATCGTTGGGGTCTGGTTATAGGAGCCGGGCGTCCAACGTTCCCCTAACCTGCGTGGCGGCGTGGTCGTCGCCTGATGTGACAGGTAGCTGCCTATGGTTCCCCACATCACCGTGTGATCCCCTCTGTCGATCGGATCGTGGCGTTATGTGGCCGCTGACTCTCCGGTGGCTCGCCGCGCCAGGGAATCAAGGACGCGTCGCTGATGAACCACGTGCCGTTCCTGAAGAAGGGCCTCGAGTCGTTCGTGTTCCGTGTCAAAGCCATGTTGGCGTTGAACGGCTGCACGGACGCCTTCTGGATGGGCAACCTGAAGAACCGCGACCTGCACGGCGAGGAGATCCTCTCTCAGGTGCGTGTGTAGCGGGCTGCACCCCATGTGAGGAGGAGGGCGGGGGGGGGGGGGGGCGCTACGGCGCTCGAATCGTCTTGATCCCGATGATCGTCGATCACCCTCTAAGGGCTGCAGTAGCAATGGTGACTATATGGGACAGCAGTCGGTGTGTCCCACTGACTGCTGTCTCTCGCTCAGCTGAAACACATGCGAGAGACAGCCGTTGTACCGTAACGTCGCCGTTTGTCCGGGGAGGCTGACAGCTCTGACGGCGTCCGGCGGCGGCTACACTGACCCCATGGTACAGGGCGAGCCAGCGGCAGCAGTAGCGGGTCGGGGCCGCGGGCGCCCCACGCGGCCTGCGCTGACCTCGTGGTTCAGGGCGAGCCAGCGGCAGCGGTAGGGGGCCGGAGCCATAGGCGCCCCGCGCAGCCTGCGCTGACCTCGTGGTACAGGGCGAGCCAGCGGCAGCGGCAGCGGCAGCGGCAGCGGGCCGGAGCCGCAGCCTCCAAGCGCGGGCAGCGCTGCTCGGGCGCCGACCGTGCCGGAGCGGCCGCTGTGTAGGAGCTCGCACTCGCGCGCGGTTGCCGTGTGGTCGCTGGGGGCTGCCGATGGGCGGGGGACTTGTTGGCTCGCTTTCTTTAGGCTGTTTACCCAAATCTAGCGTAGCTGGGCACAAGAGCGTCACCAAGGGAGTCCAAGACATGGCCCCGCTTAAACCTGTTGTGGCCCCACCTCCCCCTCCCCCTACCCCTGACCCCTGGCTGAACCTTGTGTAGCCCCTGATGAATTGTTTCCTCGGATGACGTTTGGATGTGCAAGTCTTCGAAAGAGACAGCTCATTGTGTGGACAGTCCCCAAAAGAGAGCTTACTGCATGGACACGAAGCCAAGTGTGTGTGTACACGTGCGTGCGTATGCGTGCGTGCGTGCGTGCGCGTTGGGAATCCCGACCGCCGTCGTCGGTGTGCGCTGTCGTCGGCGGACCGGTGTCCGTCGGCGACGGCCGGTGGCGCGGCCACCGTCGGTCGGCCTGGCCGCGCCGCTGACGGCGGCCCAGCGACCGGCGGCGGCGCGCGCTCGGTCGCCCCCTGACGGGCGCACACTGTCGGCAGTCGCAGCGGACGGTCGCCGAGTCCGGCGACGACGAGGAAGAGCAGGAGGAGGAGGGCGCCGCCGACGAGTCGGACGTGGACCTGGACGCCGAGGACGAGCGCTCCGGCTCGCCCGACCGTCCCGCCCCGGCAGCCGATCAGCAGGACTCCGAGATCAGCGACGCCTACTGAGCACCCTCGCACGCCACCTGCTGACGGGGGACTCGGACCAGTGTACGTGCGGGGACGGCCCCGGGGGAGGGGTGGTCGCGTGGTGACGTCACGCGTGGAGTGGCGGGGCTTTGATGCAGACGCGCGCCGAACCTACCGCGCCTTCATGTCACTCGTCTTGTGTGTGTGTGTGTGTGTGCGCTCGTTGGCTCGGGCTGTTCGTTGAGAGTTACGCAGTGATCCATGCGAGGTGAGATCAGAGTGAAGTGGTTGAGCCTTGCGCAAACGCTGTGCACGATGGTTTGGCAGTCGTTGATGTCGTTCCGTCTGGTCTTGCTTTTCCGAATAGACAATGCACAACAAATACCAAACGCGCGTGTTTGATTGAGTCTCGGAAGTTGGCGCGCTGTTTGGCCCTCCAGTCGGCTCGCTCTGGCCACCGGTCATCTCTGCTGTCTAACAGCCTCGCTCGGGATCACGCTCACGCATGGTGTTATTTTTAGTTATCATCACGTCCCGTTCGATTGAAGACAATACGCCTCACGTTTGTTATAAAGAAGAACACTATTAGCCAGAGATAACAGAAGCCCGAAGTGGGGGAGATGGTCGGCTTTTACGGCCATCGCGTAGATGTATTCATGCTTTCCTGAATCGAGCCCTGCGCCTATCTTTCTCATGTCCGGTGGCGACTTTCTAGGCTGACTTTCTAAGCCTAGGTATAGTGGCAGCGGTCGGTCGCGAGCAAACTGCCAGCCGGCGTTTGACACGCCTCTCCCCAGTGGATCTATTGGCTGGTGTGGTCTCCGATGGATCTAGCCGCCTGAAATTCGCCTGGGACCTGGAACGCGATGAAGCCAAGGGTGCCCCGGCACGCTTTTCCCGGCGGATGATTCAGCTGCAATGCGTTTCAGGGTCCGGGTTCGGGTCCCGGCGCGTGCAGGGGTTTACACAGACACCTAAACCGCTTCCTGTCGGGGCCCTGCTCGTGGAAGTTGAACTGAATAGAACCAACGCAAACGCCAATGGGAAGTTGAGAATTTAGATGAGAGAAAAGCGCGTAGAGAGAAAAGAATTTCGGTGAGAGGGCCTGTAATGCATTGATTCTCTAAACGTCTTTTGAAAGTGGTACATTTCCTGTTTCATAACTAAGTCCAATCATTTCAACTGGATGGGTTTCTGGAACCAACGCTCACGCTAAGCAGCGCTCGTGCGAATTCCAGCACCACTATTCGATCGTGTAATTTCAGTTATACGGCAGAATTGTGCGTCGAAAGTATGACATGCCGCAATGCTCGGCACATTCAGCCCCGTCCCTTGGCCTCACCTGACCGCGAGTGGCTGCTGTCACTGGCCGCGGGCCATCCCAGTGAGGAGCCAATAGGGTGCGTCGAAGCGAATAGGACCAACCAACCCAGCCACGTTGGAGGCAGGTGCTCGAGCCGACTGGGCTACGGGGGCAGATATTCGAAAAAAAATAATGCAAGTTTTTTCACCTGTGGCATAGATTTGAAAATCTCATAATGGAACCGTCAAAATCCGAGTGAAATGGATTTTGTGCATAGGTCAGGCTGCATCTTCATCCCCAGGCTGCCCTTTTTTAACTTCTGAAAAAACCGAAGAAAATGGGTCGAAATTGCGTCCACATATCGCCCACTCAGCGCTGGAAAGAAATCAGACGAACAAAATCTGACGGGGGAGGAGGTGAACAACATCATTAGCAACAGTATGGGTCGATGTTTGTGGACGGCGGCACGCTCTGACACTTGCAAGGTCAATCCACCGGTTGCTGCGTTTTTAAGGCCGTTGTCAGATCACAGCTGCTAGGGGCTTATGAAAAGGCGACACTAGACACATGGTGTAGGCGGATATACCCGCTTACAACTCATTAAAACGTCTCAAAACCACCCGAACTATGGCTAAGTATGCTAGAAATCGACCGGAAGGCGACCGATGTCACCCTTTTCGAAATTAATCTGGAACATGTCACCCTTTTCGAAACTGGTCTGGAACATGTCACCCTTTTCGAAACTGATCTGGAACAGGTCACCCTTTTTGAAAGTGATCTAGAAACCTTGGCTGAGACATAGTAAACCATGGAAATTATATTGGCGTGTGGTCCTGCTTATTTTTGTTAATATCCACCCGAATATTTGCACGTTAAAACTCGTTTCAAAGCTAACGCTGAAAATATTTGCAAATTCATCGATTCCGTTGACTTAAGTTATGAGCTCTGACCAAACCAGTTACCGGCTGGTTATTAATGTTTTTCGCGGATCGGCGCGTTATGTTAAGATCAGTCGTCCCCCACGTGCAAGATTATCATGCACGGTAGTCTTTCCATCGATTTGGTCATGTGTTTTGGCCACGTGTGACAGTTGCGGTAGAAATCGTTCATGAATTATTCCTCGCCGACCCCCAACAAAGCATTCAACAAACGTCAAGGCACACGAAACCAGTGATCAGTATAGTCCGTACATTATAACCGGTACATTTCCATTCGTTTTATGGATTAATTGGTTTGTGTTACTTGTGCTGGATGCGCTTGTTTTCTTGATTGCAAAAGCCAGTCTGGCACGCATGAATAGCACATAGGTCACGTTGCTCGGGCCGGCGGTTACGTGACGAGAATGAACGAATGATTGATTGAGAATGATTTTTAACGCCGTCCACAAGCTGCGCCCGATAACGTCACAGCAAGTGTGTCACAATAGTTTGGGAACAGCGAAAAAACCCACAAACCGCACGCGTCAGGTACGACTCAAAATATCACTGACAAGGGGCTCGCAGCCGGAGCCTCTGATTGGCGGAGCGCTGGCGCCGGCCACGGGTCGCCGGGGTCACCTTGGCCGCTGCCCTGCCCGCGGCGGTGTCACGTGAGGTGAGGTCATCGAGAGGTGACCGCCGCCAGCTGGGCGACACTGCGTGCCGGGACCCGAAGGCGGCGGTGCGTGGTCGGCATGACTTCCGACAAGGGCGGCGCCAAGGCGCCCGGCAAGGAGGCGGGCGCGAAGGAAGGATTTAAGGTTTGAGGATTGTTGCCGTGTTGCCGTGTTGTCAACAGTTTACGCGCGAGGGAAGTTGCAAGGCTTGAGTGCGAGGTTATAATGCGTGCAGATGTCATTCTTGAAACATGGCTTGTCTCGTGCCTTGCCTTCTTAGCACCTTGTACCATTTTCCACAGCCGAGCCGCTCGGCTGATGAAACTGGTTCATCTCTGTGGTCATTGTTCATCGCATTAGCCACACCCATACGGCTGCCGTGGTTTTAGCCGCGTGACCGTTGACGGTGTGTGAGGTCTTGCCGTGAGGGTCGCGTCTAGGACTGCGATACTGCCTTGGTTTCCTTGGGCTTATTTATGGCGGTCCTCTCGTTAAAAATCGAAACATTTTCTTTCGATGGTATCTGTAAAAGATTAGGATCTGCGTGCCTGCGCGCTCATTCGGACCGTGTTGTCATTTTACCATGGGCTGCTCAACGCGATGCATAACCGACGCCCAGCGAGCGCTGGTCACCACATGGCGTCGTGGCAGTGAAGTCACTTTTAAGAACTGCACAAGGAGCATAATTGAAAGAGTACAGAATTATCGCACTCAACATATTTATGCCCATGAGATGCATGCAGGAGAAATGGGTGACAGCGTGAATAGTCGTCGGTGGAAGAGTGGCCCATGCAGAGAGGAAGCTTTAAAATGACTGTACCCCATTCCTTTCGTCTAGTTACTCCACAATTGCCACCTCAAATACCGAAATGATATTCCCGAGTCTACCGCTCCTCGCCAAATCGGAGCACCGCCGCCCAAGCCCGAACAAAACTCTTGCCGTCTCCGCAAGCAGAGCTGTGATTGGTCCACGGTGCGGGTTTGCCAGGGATGTCTCGTGTCTGTAAGAGTCCCGAGGCTCCGCCCCGGTGACCGGCTCGATGACTGGCCTGTGTCGTGAGTGGGGCTGGGTCAGGTCACAATGTCTTTGCTGGCGTCTCTCCGCCGGACGCGGTGTCCAAAGCAGATTTTGTCCCGTCGCCGCCGTGTGACGCCCGTCGTCGTTCGCTCTGACAGAAGGACGACTCTGAGCCGCTGCCGGCGGCGGTGGCGGCGGCGACGGAGGCTGCGGACGTCGCCAACCACTGTCACACGGCCGAGCTGCTGCTGCACCTCTCGGCCGTGCAGTATGTGCTGGGCCAAATGCGGCCTCGGCACGACGCGCTGATGAATGACAACTGGGTCTACCTGCTGCTGTTCGTCAGCACCGCCGTGCTGTACAAGGCGGCTGTGTTGATCGTCACATTCCCAATCATCAACCTGCAGATCGGTAAGTCGTACCACACCGCTGTAGATAGTCTGTAAGCACGTCCAACTGATACCAGCTTTGCGTAATTATTTCCTGCAGATAGAACGGCGTTGTCGACCGGCCAAATGGCCAAAAACCTTTGGAGAGAGACGGTAGACTCTATGTCCTCCCGCAGCCAATTATGGTGACTTCTTTACACACGTCGTTAGGCAATGTTGCACTCTTCTGCAGTCGGTGCTGCTATTCAGCCACTTTCGTGCCCACCCGTTAGGCCTGGCCTCCTACAAGTCGTTGCGCACACGAACTACAGGCGCCGCTACGCGCTGGGGAGCTATGCCACTTTGCAGCAAGGGCAGAGCGACGTCCATTTCGGCCAGCGCCGAGCTCCCGAAGACGACCCCTCTAGGGGCGTCGCTCGTTTTGGCTGCTCAGGCTCTGACTGAGGTGCCGAGCAGCCGGGTGTGACCCGGTCGAGTCGGCTTTCGACCCGCGATCTCATATATAAATTTAAATCAAGTCCAACTCGGTGTTTCGCTACCGCTCGACAATATCTGGACCCAATAGCGGTTAGCAGTTGGATTCTGCTCAGTGATTTAGTCGAAACATGTAAATGGACGGATGTTGCAGACCAACGCCCATGCCATGGTGTTTGTTGGCTGGTTGTCAATCTTTCCATCCAATCATGAAATTCGTATTTGACGGCAGACTTTGGTCGCGAAAGCCTGCGGAGCCGCGGTGCTCGGCACGTTTTTCTTACCCGCATATGTCACTGGCCTCAAGTGAGACCACTGCCACCGGCCGTCGGTCGTCCCACTCGTGCGTAAATGGCGAGCGCCTAAGCAGACGTGTTAACGAGCGAGCTTGTTAACCCTTTACAGGTGGGTCAACACGCGCTCGGATGGAGGTCAGTTTGTCCTCGCGGAAGTTTTTACAGGATATTTCCGAACTGCCGAACATTGCATATCTGTAGGAAATTGGATAGCGTATCCTTTGGTATAGAACATGAGATGTAACACATAAGCTTCCTGAGATATGATCATTGAATCAATCAAATCAGTC